CGATGGCTCTAACCATTTTTTTTTAGAATCGCTCAACGAAATATTCCATTTTTTTGGATTTAAAAAAAATATATTCTCAAGCCAAATATTTTTAAATCTTGGCCGGGGAGTATAAACACGTTATGTTGTTGGAATCAGCATGAGGAAATAATTTTTTGGGAATTTTCCGTAGACTTTTCCAAAAGCGATATTTTTCAATATCTTTGCTCTGCAAATTTAGGCCAATTTTTGACAATTTTCGGAATTTAACAAAAAATATTTTCTTATTGATTTCGACCTCCAGAAGTTGGTGTCGGCCTCATTTCTTGGACAGCTGCTAGCGCCCACTGAAATATTACAATTTTTTGGTTTAATAAGAAAAAATCAAGATCCAAATTTTTTTTGGGAATTTTTGGGCGGCTTTTTCAAAAGCAAAATTTGACATTTTCTTTTAAATTTTCACCTCCAAAAGTTATTTTAAGTCACATTTCTTTGAAAGCGTCTACCATTTTTGTAGAATCGTCCACTGAATTATTGCAGTTTTTGGTGTCTAAAAAATATATTTTCAAATCAGGTATTTTTAATTTTAAATCTTGACCCAGGAGCTTAAACATGCTATATTTTTGGAATCAGCACGACGTAATCTATGTCCCTGATTTTTTTTTAGAATTTTTTGGCGATTTTTTCAAAAACAAAATTTTCGGCCAATTTTCGCAAAAAAATCACATTAGGCTTACTTTTAAAATCTCGAACTGTTCTATTTTTGGATTCACCAACGACGAAATCTCTATCCCTGAATTTTTTTAAGACTTTTTCAACAAAATTTTTTCCAATTTTTACTTTACTAGTCCTTTTTTTTGTACTTGCCAAAGTAAGACTGATTTTGATAAATTGCATATCTTCGAAGAAAATAAAGGGTGGGTGGACGGGGCCAATACTTGCCCGAATAAGACTGTTGTGATATAAATGAGATCAAATTTTCATATGCAGTGTTTATAAAAAAAGCTTTAATTATTACAGTTTTCAAATATCGATATCGCAGAATTTTTTGCCGACTTTTTCAAAAGCGAAATTGTTCAATTTTTAGTTCTCCAAGTCAATGAAAATTTCGGCCAATTTTCGACAATTTTCAAAATTTAACCAAAGACATTAATTTATTTATTAATTTTGACCTCCAGATGTTAGTTTCGGTCCCATTTCTTCGATAGCTCCAACCATTTTTTCCAGAAATATTGCAATTTTTCGGATTAAAAAAAAAACAAATATTTTTAAACACGGTATGTTTTTGGAATCAGCATGAGGAAATTTTTTGATGACTTTCTTAAACACAAAATTTTTTAATATCCCACTGAGTGAAGTTTTCGACCAACTTTCGACAATTTTCGAATTTAACAAAAAAACATTTTATAGATTCCAATTTTCTTGAATTTTTTTGGCAAACGAATTGTTCACAAAAAATAACATTAGACTTATTTTTAAAATCTTGAACTGCTATATTTTTGGACTCAGCACGATGAAATCTCTATCCATGAATTTTTTAAGAATTTTTCGGCTTTTTCAAAAGCAAAATTTTTCAATAAAAATTTCAGCATATTTTCGACAATTTTCGAAACTTAACGAAAGATATTTTCTTATAGATATTTGACCTCCAGGAGATAGTTTTGGTCTCACTTCTTCGATAACTCCTACCATTTTTCCAAAATCGCCCACTGAATTATTGCAATTTTTGGAGTTTAAAGAAATATATTTTCAAAGCGTATATTTTTAAATTTTGCCCCAGAAGCATAAACCTGCTACATTTTTGGAATCAACACAACAAAATCTATATCCCTGATTTTTTTAGGAATTTTTTGGCGCCTTTTTCAAAAACAAAATTTTTCAAGAAAAATTTAGGCCGATTTTCGACAATTTTCGAAATGGTTTTACTTTTTCCACAGCTCCTATAATTTTCCAAAATCTCCCACTGAATTATTGCAATTTTTTGGGTTTAAATTAATATAGAGGAGTATTTTCAAAGCGAATATTTTTAAATCTTGCCCCAGGAGCTACATGCTACATATTTGGAATCAACACAACAAAATATATCCCTGATTTTTTTAGGAATTTTTAGGCGCCTTTTTCAAAAACAAAATTTTTCAAGAAAAATTTAGGCCGATTTTCGACAATTTTCGAAATGGTTTTACTTTTTCCACAGCTCCTATAATTTTTCCAAAATCGCCCACTGAATTATTGCAATTTTTGGAGTTAAAAAAATATCTTGCCCCAGGAGCATAAACATGCTACATATTTGGAATCAACACAACAAAATATATCCCTGATTTTTTTAGGAATTTTTCGACGCCTTTTTCAAAAGCAAAATTTTTCAAGAAAAATTTAGGCCGATTTTCGACAATTTTCGAAATGGTTTTACTTTTTCCACAGCTCCTATAATTTTTCCAAAATCGCCCACTGAATTATTGCAATTTTTGGAGTTAAAAAAATATATTTTCAAAGCGAATATTTTTAAATCTTGCCCAGGAGCAAAAACGTGCTATATTTTTGGAATCAACACAATAAAATCCATATCCCTGATTTTTTTAGGAATTTTTCGGCGCCTTTTTCAAAAGCAAAATTTTTCAAGAAAAATTTAGGCCGATTTTCGACAATTTTCGAAATGGTTTTACTTTTTCCATAACGCCTATAATTTTTCCAAAATCGCCCACTGAATTATTGCAATTTTTGGGGTTTAAAAAAATATATTTTCAAAGCGAATATTTTTAAATCTTGTCCAGGAGCAAAAACGTGCTATATTTTTGGAATCAGCTCAATTAAATCTACTATATCTCTGATTATTTTCAGAATTTTTGGGCGACTTTCAGAGCAAAATTTTTCAGTAAAAATTTCGGACAATTTTTCTCAATTTTCAAAATCTATCCAATTTTGATAGCTTTTTATTTAAAAACAAAATTTTTTAATATCCCACTCAGTGAAGATTTCGGCCAACTTTCGACAATTTGCGAAATTTAACAAAAACCTTTTCTTATAGATTCCATTTTTTTTTTAATTTTTTGGCAAAGGAAAAGGTTCACAAAAAATCACATTAGGCTTACTTTTAAAATCTTGAACTGCTATATTTTTGGACTCAGCACGACGAAATCTCTACCCATGCATTTTAAAAAAATCTTCGGCAACTTTTCAAAAACAAAATTTTGAAATAAAAATTTCGGTCGATTTTCGACAATTTTCGAAATTTAACGAAAGATATTTTCTTATAGATTTTCGACCTCCAGGAGATATTTTTGGCTCACTTCCTCGATAACCCCTACCATTTTTCCAAAATCGCCCACTGATGTGTTGCAATTTTTGGGGTTTAAAAATATATTTTCAAATCTTGCACCAGGAGCATAAACATGCCATATTTTACGAATCAGCACGACGAAATCTATATCCCTAATTTTTTTAAGAATTTTTTGCTAACTTTTCAAAAACAAAATTTTTCAATTAAATTTTTAAAAAATCGGCCAAGATTTTCGACAATTTTCGAAATTTGTCGAAAGATATTTTCTTATAAATTTTAGACCTTCAGAAGATACCATTTGGTTCAGTGCCTACTATTTTTCCAAAATCGCCCACTGAATTATTGCAATTTTTGGGCTTTAAAAAAATATATTTTCAAAGCGAATATTTTTAAATCTGGCTCCAAGAGCATAAACATGATTTTTTTTAGGAATTTTTTTGCGACTTTTTCAAAAGCAAGACTGATTTTGGCAAATGACATACCCTTTTAGAAAAGAGAAGGTGGGTGGGCGAGGCTAGTAGCTGCTAACACAAGACTGATTTTGGCTAATGAAATACCCTCTAAGAAAATAGAGGGTGGGTGGGCGGGGCTAATAGGTGCTAAGATAAGACTGGTTTTGGCAGATGAGATCTGACCTGACCTGACCTGTTTTTGAATTAATTTTGGGACCCCGTTTTTTTTTTGAAAATTTAAACAATCTTACGGTTCTAGGTGTTCCTGTTTGGAAAGAATTTGAAAGTGCAAAACATATTTTCAAGTCGAATGTTTATAAAATAAATCTTGCCTAGGGAGCATAAACATGCTTTTGGATTCAACACGAGGAAACCTATATCCCAGAATTTTTTGTAAATTTTTTGGAAAGTTTCCAAAAGCAAAATTTGTTGTTATTCCCTCATGAAAATTTCGGTCAATTTTCGACCATACTTCTGGTTTATGAATTCGCCTTGAGTTTTTACTCCAAGCTTCCAACATCCAGTTTTCCCCAAATAAATCCAAATTACAACTTATAGCAGTATAACGGTGAAAAAAATATTATTGTACAGCTTTCTGTAAAAAAAATGTCCCCTAAGGTCACAAAAGCACATGTAACTATGGCCTTTATTTGTGAAATTGGATCTTGGGCGCCAGACACCACTTTTCTTAAAACAGTATTTTTTTTCATTCTCCAGTTATATCGACTATCTTTTATTGCTATTTCTGTGGTCTCCACCAGATAGAAACGTCAATGCAGTTTGTTCGACCTAACAAAGTTTTAAAGTCGCACCGGGTTCAACATTATGTTTAACATTTTTATAAAATCATATCTAAGCATCTTCAAAGATAACCGTATTTTTAATTTGAAAGTATTGCAATGAATTAAATACCGTTTCCATAGATTTAACAAAAATAGAACATCGTTATTACTTGATTAAGTGTAGTGGAGAAAATAACGTTTTATCAATGTTTATAATTCGAAACGGAACGTTGAACGTTTATGTGTAATTGACCCATAAATAGCGACTCATACCAAAACAGTTACAGTGTGCTACGTTAAAAATTAATTAGTACTTAACGTAATTGCAGTGGTTGTACGTAGTAATTATTATTAATTTATTTAACAAATGAATGCTTACAATAATAATAAGTTCTACGAACACACATTTACCTTTAATGACACGAGCTTAGATTTTATCCTTATTTGTTTCCAATTAACTAATTAATTAAGTGTTTGTGTTGTAATTAATTCATGTTTATATTTTTCCAGGTGCACGTTTCCACAGCTTACTGCAACTGCGACCGTAGCGATGTAAAAGAAGTCATCTATCCGCCACCTGTAGGTCCCGATCAAGTAACATCGTTAGTCGATTGTCTCGAAGAAAGCTTACTAGATTCTCTAACAACAAAATTAGTAGGAAACAGACCCAACACGTATACTTTCACAAAAGCGTTAGCCGAATGTTGGTTAAAAGAGAACAAAGGCGACTTACCATTGGTCATAGTCAGACCTAGTATCGTACTGTGTAGTTTTAGTGGACCTATGAAAGGATGGGTAGACAATTGGAACGGCCCGACTGGTAACTAATACAATTTTTCCGCACAAAAGTATTCACACTTACAATTATTATAGGAATCATAGCTGCTGCCGGTAAAGGTCTGTTCAGAACAATGCTATGCGACCCGGAGAAAGTCGCGGACCTGGTGCCCGTCGATATGGTAATTAACTTGATGTTAGTGTCAGCCTGGAATATCGGCACGACAAAGAGCAAAGACATGCCTATACCAGTATACAATTGTAGTACAGGTCGGTTTTTACTTTTTAGTGGGGAGTATTGTGGTGGCACGAATTTTTTCAGGTCAACGAAAACCCATAACGTGGAGCAACTTCGTCGGTTTGTGTTTCAAGTACATGCGGAAACATCCGTTCTCGGAAGTCACGTGGTACCCCGACGGAACCGTAACCGCCTCCAGGAGCCTGAATATTTTCAATAAGTATTTGTTACACTGGTTGCCTGCGTATATTTTAGACAGTTTGGTGTGGATAACAGGCGGCAAACCGATGTAAGTGTCCGTGATATACGTTTTCGTATGTGGTGTATATATTTTTTGTGTGTAGAATGGTGCGAATTCAAGACAAGTTGAGCAAAGCCGCCACTTGCCTCGAGTATTTCACGACGAACGAATGGCGCTTCGACGACGAGAACGTGCGCACGCTGAACCTCACCCTCAGCGAGAAGGACCGGGAGGAGTTCAGCTTCGACGTGGCGAAGATCGACTGGGAGCAGTACGTGGAGGACTACGTCTTGGGGATTCGTCGGTTTATTTTCAAGGAGGACGTGGCTTCCATCCCCAAGGCTCGCAAGCAGGTGTCCAGGTTGTACTGGGTGTACCGGTGTCTGCAGGTCGTTTCCGTGATGTGCATGTGGCATTTCCTTACGTTACGTTACGCCCCGTTGCGGCAGCTGTGGGGGAACGCCCTCAGACTGCTCATACACTTAGCCAGAATGCTGCCATTTGTATAGATAATCATTAGGTAGGTGAGGTTTGTGAGGCTGCCGCTCTTCTTTTTCGCGTTCGGTTTTTATTATGTGTTATTCTGTGTCGTGAGTGTACATTGTAGATAATTGTATGTTATGTAAGTGGAAAAGAAAAGCGGCGCCATCTTTGACATGTTCACTGGTTTTTTCCGCTTTTTTTATTTTCGACCGTGATCGCTAGTTTGTACCGAGGTTACGCTCATTCCAGCCGTGTAAGTGAAATGGTTTTTATGGATTTTTACGAGGAATTTTAATTTTTTCGAGTGGTGTCGGGCTGATTGGAGAAAAATTAAAATTCTTCCCAACATTAAGTGAAAATGTTGTTTTTTTTCTTTACACACCCACCCACACACACACACACACAAAACATGGAAGGTCAGCTTCAAGTATTTATTGATACAAATAATTTATTTGTTATTTTTACCATTGTACTAGTCTTATAGCTGATTAAAGGGATCGCTTTGTTAAACAAATTATTTATTTATGTGGTTTGAAATTACTGGATTTACGAGTTCAGACAACTTACCAAAAATTACAACTTTATTTAGATATATAGAGAAGTAGGAAATTGTACGACTTGGCGTTCGTTTGCTTGTTTTTCCACTGGAATTGTTTTTACATGATATAATTGTAATTGTTAATTTTTATTATAAAATACAAAATCTCTGTTTAAGCGAATTGAATTAAAATAATAGATATTGTTTATTATTGGTGTTTCATTACAAATACCCTTAAACAAGAGGATCCGCAGCTACGCTACAGCAAAACCATAAAAAGAAAAGCTGCGTCAAGTTTTGTAATTTATTTCAAGAATAAATGTCCAAAATTCAAGTTGCAGAAGAGTCCACAACAATATTAAATTAACTGATATTGTGAGGGATCAATGGTTAAAGGCTGATTTTGAAAATCTGTATTGAGAAATTGTGGAACGTAAATAATAACTTACGGAAAACCAACGGTTAAGGAAAAAACTCAAAGCGGATTCGTACATCACACTTACAGGACTATATTGTTGTATAAAAGAAATCAATAAACATAGAATTCTTTGAAATGACGTCATCAAATGGGGATGATTAGCAAAATAATGTTAAATATCATTTAACCATCTACATGATATTTCTAATATACGAACAAAATTTGACAACATTCGTCCGATGGACTCGATTACTATACTTCCTTAGCTAGGCCCGGGAAGTAAAAAAAGAAACATAAAACGAAACAAAAACAATAACTTTAAATTAAATGTTCAAATTGACGTGATAATCATATCTAATAATAAAAAATGTTTGTGTTCATTAAATATGTTATATATTTCCTCAATAAATAACATAACACTAAAATGTGTGTCATTTAAACGAAAAAAACTGTCAGGTGTGGGATTGGAACCCACACTCCCTTTCGAGAATCAGAACTTAAATCTAACGCCTTAGACCGCTCGACCAACCTAACTACACTTAAATGTTTTATTTATAAATCTGTACTTTCATACTAAGTTGTATGAGGGGGTAGTCGTTATAGAACTCGAGTCTGCGCAAACCACGACCGTCCCCGAGGACAGATCGACCGAGCATAAGGCGATGACAAACGTTCGATAAAAAGTGGTGGGGCTACTAGGCCAGTTTGACCTCATTTGACCTGGCTAGGAGCCCCACTATATTACTACTCTTCTGCTTCTACACAACATTCTACCCTAATTCTTTGCTTGAGGTCTTCTAAGTGTCTTAGAAGTTTCTGATGCACCCTAAATTTTAAATTGCCCCACAAAAAAAAATGTAGGGGTGTTAGATCTGGAGATACAAATCCATTTGTATCGTTCAAGTAATCTGTTATTATTCGCGCGTTATGTGGTGGTGCACCATCATTAGGAGACTGAAAGGTTGTGGTTACGACATGTTTCGACTTTATTAATTAACGTCATCATCACGTTATGTTGAATAAACTACTAACATGGATATTAAAATTTATGAAAATACAATGATAAAATTAATAATATAATTAAAATGCCCGAGATTTATACAAAATTGTGTAATTTTTTTTTCTCTCGGAATCGTTATATTGTTTCTGTTCAGTATAAGATCACTCATTTCATTCAATTTGGATAAAATCAACCTCTGAAAAAGAGACAGGGTTGGTGGGCGGGGCTATTTATGTTCTTCTGTCGAATGGGAATGGGAATTGGAATGGAAACTAATAATAGAATCTAGGATGTGAAAAAAGTAAAAAAAAACGATAATCGTTTTTTTTTTTGTTAAAATCAGTTTTACTTTGGCAAGTACTAGCCCCGCCCGCCCACCCTCTCTTTTCTTAGAAGGTATCTCATTTGCAAAATCACTCTTATCTTAGCAGGTACTAGCCCCGCCCACCCGCCCACTTTTTTCTTAGAGGATGTCTCATTTGCCAAACTCAGTCTTATTTTAATTTTTGGAGATCCATTCTGTTCAAGTTTCTATTTAATTTGGTGTTATTATCCGCCTCTTGAACGTCTGGAGTTTATCATTAGGACTTAGGAGACTGAATGGTTGTGGTTACATGTTTCGACTTTATTAATTAACGTCGTCATCAGGTTATGTTCAATAAACTAGTAACATGGATATTAAAATTTATGAAAATACAATGATAAGATTAATAATATAATTAAAATGCCCGAGATTTATACAAAATGGTGTATTTTTTTTTTCTCTCGGAATCTTTATATTGTTTCTGTTCAGTATAAGATCACTCATTTCATTCAGTTTGGATAAAATCAACCTCTGAAAAAGGCACAGGGTGGGTGGGCGGGGCTATTTATGTTCTTCTGTCGAATGGGAATGGGAATGGAAACTAATAATAGAATCTAGGATGTGGAAAAAGTAAAAAAAAAACGATAATCGTATTTTTTTTGTTAAAATCAGTTTTACTTTGGCAAGTACTAGCCCCGCCCGCCCACCCTCTCTTTTCTTAGAAGGTATCTCATTTGCAAAATCACTCTTATCTTAGCAGGTACTAGCCCCGCCCACCCGCCCACTCTTTTCTTAGAGGGTGTCTCATTTGCCAAACTCAGTCTTATTTTAATTTTTGGAGATCCATTCTGTTCAAGTTTCTATTTAATTTGGTGTTATTATCCGCCTCTTGAACGTCTGGAGTTTATCATTAGGACTTACGAGACTGAATGGTTGTGGTTACATGTTTCGACTTTATTAATTAACGTCGTCATCAGGTTATGTTCAATAAACTAGTAACATGGATATTAAAATTTATGAAAATACAATGATAAGATTAATAATATAATTAAAATGCCCGAGATTTATACAAAATGGTGTATTTTTTTTTTCTCTCGGAATCTTTATATTGTTTCTGTTCAGGATAAGATCACTCATTTTATTCAGTTTGGATAAAATCAACCTCTGAAAAAGGCACAGGGTGGGTGGGCGGGGCTATTTATGTTCTTCTGTCGAATGGGAATGGGAATGGAAACTAATAATAGCATCTAGGATGTGAAAAAAGTAAAAACAAAACGATAATAGTATTTTTTTTTTGTTAAAATCAGTTTTACTTTGGCAAGTACTAGCCCCGCCCGCCCACCCTCTCTTTTCTTAGAGGGTGTCTCATTTGCCAAAATCAGTCTTTTTTAAATTTTTGGAGATCCATTCTGTTCAAGTTTCTATTTAATTTGGTGTTATTATCCGCCTCTTGAACGTCTGGAGTTTATCATTAGGACTTACGAGACTGAATGGTTGTGGTTACATGTTTCGACTTTATTAATTAACGTCGTCATCAGGTTATGTTCAATAAACTAGTAACATGGATATTAAAATTTATGAAAATACAATGATAAGATTAATAATATAATTAAAATGCCCGAGATTTATACAAAATGGTGTATTTTTTTTTTCTCTCGGAATCTTTATATTGTTTCTGTTCAGGATAAGATCACTCATTTTATTCAGTTTGGATAAAATCAACCTCTGAAAAAGGCACAGGGTGGGTGGGCGGGGCTATTTATGTTCTTCTGTCGAATGGGAATGGGAATGGAAACTAATAATAGCATCTAGGATGTGAAAAAAGTAAAAACAAAACGATAATAGTATTTTTTTTTTGTTAAAATCAGTTTTACTTTGGCAAGTACTAGCCCCGCCCGCCCACCCTCTCTTTTCTTAGAAGGTATCTCTTTTGCAAAATCACTCTTATCTTAGCAGGTACTAGCCCCGCCCACCCGCCCACTCTTTTCTTAGAGGGTGTCTCATTTGCCAAAATCAGTCTTTTTTAAATTTTTGGAGATCCATTCTGTTCAAGTTTCTATTTAATTTGGTGTTATTATCCGCCTCTTGAACGTCTGGAGTTTATCATTAGGACTTAGGAGACTGAATGGTTGCGGTTACATGTTTCGACTTTATTAATTAACGTCGTCATCAGGTTATGTTCAATAAACTAGTAACATGGATATTAAAATTTATGAAAATACAATGATAAAATTAATAATACAATTAAAATGCCCGAGATTTATACAAAATGGTGTATTTTTTTTTCTCTCGGAATCTTTATATTGTTTCTGTTCAGTATAAGATCACTCATTTCATTCAGTTTGGATAAAATCAACCTCTGAAAAAGGCACAGGGTGGGTGGGCGGCGCTATTTATGTTCTTCTGTCGAATGGGGATGGGAATGGAAACTAATAATAGAATCTAGGATGTGAAAAAAGTAAAAACAAAACGATAATAGCATTTTTTTTTTGTTAAAATCAGTTTTACTTTGGCAAGTACTAGCCCCGCCCGCCCACCCTCTCTTTTCTTAGAAGGTATCTCATTTGCAAAATCACTCTTATCTTAGCAGGTACTAGCCCCGCCCACCCGCCCACTCTTTTCTTAGAGGGTGTCTCATTTGCCAAACTCAGTCTTATTTTAATTTTTGGAGATCCATTCTGTTCAAGTTTCTATTTAATTTGGTGTTATTATCCGCTTGAACGTCTGGAGTTTATCATTAGGACTTAGGAGACTGAATGATTGTGGTTACATGTTTCGACTTTATTAATTAACGTCGTCATCAGGTTATGTTCAATAAACTAGTAACATGGATATTAAAATTAATGAAAATACAATGATAAAAGTAATAATATAATTAAAATGCCCGAGATTTATACAAAATGGTGTATTTTTTTTCTCTCGGAATCTTTATATTGTTTCTGTTCAGTATAAGATCACTCATTTCATTCAGTTTGGATAAAATCAACCTCTGAAAAAGGCACAGGGTGGGTAGGCGGGGCTATTTATGTTCTTCTGTCGAATGGGAATGGGAATGGAAACTAATAATAGCATCTAGGATGTGAAAAAAGTAAAAAAAATTGGTCTAAAAAGTTTAGACAGTACTTCCCTCGCTGTCGGAAACTTGACGACTGCATGCCTATTGTGTTTTTTTTTCTCATTACATTTTTGTAGTGGGAATTTAAAAAAAATTGCGATGACGTCATCAACATTTTTGCAAGGACACGTATATCAGTTGGGATAGATGTAGTGTAATACTAAGAATAAAATTATTGTATTCCCAAATTTTTGGGAAAATGAATTGGGTCGTTTTGAATATTGATTTGTTATAATCAATAAAATAACGAAACAATTTACTCACGTATACGGCGCCGGCGTGTAATATGAGAGGGAACTGAAAATCGTGTATGTATAAGCATTCTTAATTTAAGATGACAAGCGTAACAGCATACGTGAGAGGCAAACACAGAAACTGTAAACAAAACGACCATCGGTTTTATTGCTTCGACTTCCGCTTATTATATAAAACATTGGGTTTTATTTCAATTTTTGACGGTGGAATTCACAATTGGTTAATTATAAACATGTCTATTCCACATTGGCGGAACCTAGTTAGCGCACAAAACAAATGCACGTCTGTAATGTTAAAGTAGATGTAAATAAGCGTGTTACCCTTATGTTTCAACCGAGTTTTTACTTTAAAAAATTTTGTGTTTACCAAATTGGGTTGGTCCAATGTAATACTAATAATAAGTGTTGCCTTTAATTTAATCAATAAAATAAATTGACTTCATAAATTTTCTTGAGCCACCTCTTAAGAAAATCTAAAAAAATATGAATGGAATGATAAATCACAAGTACAAACTCATCATCTTTTTTTGCATTTTAGATAGGATTTATTCAGCAAAATTTAAGGGTGACGTCATCAATTTTTTTAGGAGGGATGAACAAAAACATTTTGAACAAAAGTTTACCATGCTTATAATAACTTTAAAATATCTCCAAGATTTCAAAGCATTCGGTTTTGTAATTCCTGATTAAATCGATAAAATAAATTCACGCATTCATTAATTTTTTTGAGTCACCCTGTATATGCAAATCCAAAAAATATGATTGGAGTGATAAATCACAAGTGCAGACTCATCATATTTTGTACATTTTAGATAGGATTTATTCAGCAAAATTTTGGAGTGACGTCATCAATTTTTTAGGTGGGAAGAGCAAATACATCTTGCTGGAAATACATACGTTCTTTCTCTCAGGACGAGTGGAAAATCTTCTAATAACACAGAAAGTCCGTTTACAAGAAATTCCAACAGTGAGGATTTTCTGAAGCCCAGTATGGTGACCGAATTTGAATTAAAATTTCGGGCGAAATCATATTTGAATAATGTGAATTTAAAAAAAAAATCAATCAAAAAAATTGTTAAACATCGGCAACCATGTGCACGTTAGCGCTTTTGGGTAGTGGGTAGTTTTCCGCTGGAACTAGAGGGTTGTTAAAAGTGGGCGGCTTGGTAGAGGTGAAAGCGTCATTGTTGGTTTGGTGCTGTGCGTAAAAACATGGTCAAAAGACGCGGTGAGTTAAGCTAAGTTTAGTTGGTTCAGTAGTTAATAAAAGCTTAACGATAATTAATTGTAACGCCGGCGACGCCACATTTTTCCCCAACACGCGCAGCTAATTCTTGCGGCTTCTAATCGGCAAAAAGTGAATTATTATTTAAATTCACAGTTCAGGTTAGGAATTTAATCGTTCACTAGTTCTAAGATAATTTAACAATCGGGAATTTGTTTAGATAATACTTACTAGGAGATTTCATGAAATTCACTTAGTCAGGGTAACACCCTTCGTTTATAAAGTTACGAATAACGTTTCTGGATGCTAATACTTAAGTGTTACATTGTAACACTTCTTAATTCCTCACACAAGATTCCTAATAATTTACGGGGGAATTAAAGATTTCTCTCCTTATGCAGTTATCATCGATATTATCACCGTATCATCATCACATCACCGAGACAATTGTGTCGCAACGCTGAAAACTACATCACTGAGGAGTTTTCCTCGCAACGCTTGATGCATTTTGTGTTTATTTATCATATGTTTTGTTTGAGATAAACAGTCCACGATATAAACCCTCAACACAAATTGTTCTAAGTAACCACTCACTTGGATCATGGCATAATGTAACATCATATAAATTCTTTGTTTGAATCCTTGATAAAGTGTGGCATAATTGAACATAATGTAAACTCTTGCGTGAATCGTTGATAAAGTGTGGCAAATATTAATCTCATGTAAATTTGTTAACTCTGCAATTTTCACCTCATACAATATTTCTCTATCTCACAATTTTAAATTAAGTAATTTTTTTGTGGTATAATTTAAATTGAAGATCTTTTGTTTTTATAAATTTTTGCTAAGTTTTTGTTTTGTAAATATTTTGTTGATGAATGTTGTTTATTGCTCTTTTTGAAACTTGGACACTTGTTCAGTTGTAGTTAATATCAGAGTTATAAAAATTGAACATTGAAATGGAATTGAGGTTAAATAATACAGAAGGGCTTGGCAGAAGCGGAGGGCGCGGTTCCTAGTCGAGCTGGCGGGATTTATCGTGTAATCTGCACAAAAAATTCAGGTTAGAATAGAATTCAAGGGCGATCGACATGACGTAACGCTATCGGCTTCTACCCCACAGCCACCGTATTTTTTTTTTCAATTTACAAGCGTTTTAAAGCTTCTAGGTGAATACGGTTATACCGAGTAATATATCATTGAAAAAAGAAAAAAATGCTTTCTTTTGTAGTACTACAAACTGTACTCTTTTAGATTTAGAAAAAAGTTGATGTCATTTTCGGTAAAACTGAAGCCAATACGATGCCACTAGTCTCCTCATTCAATAGATTGTATTACATATATTGAACATGCCTATGTTCAAATTTTTATGTTTTAAATAAATAGATCGGATGTTTTCTACAATAAAACTGCAGTTGCATACGTTTTATTTGTAATGTTATGCCTATCAACACGTACAAGACACAGTTAAAATAAATCCCCAAATTTACTCCTTGTTCTACTCCGGAAAGAAGTTATACTCATTTTGGACTTCCTTCGTAAAGTGTTAAGCTCCAAATCCGCTTCTGTATCCTAAAAACAAACCAATAAACTCCAATCCCACCCCCAGCCTGGCCCTCTCACCGCATCGCTTACAGACGGTAATCTTTGAGCCCTTGCCACAATAGCCATGGCCTCATCCTTGTGTCCCATCTTGAGCTTACACTTCGCGATGTACAACATATTCATCTTCCACTCCACCGAAGACAGCCTCTGTGCCTCCATGAAGTGTTCCAAAGCCTCCTCAACCGTAGCCGTAGGTAGCGTCGCGAACAGCGCCGACGCCATCTTCCTTTCGTACCATTTCAATTCCGATACGTCGTAGGCAAACCGACCTTTCAAAAAATGCAACGTGGGATCAGCCGGGTTTAAATCGGAGGCTAAATCCAGGTGCTCCTTGAACAAGTAACCGTCCGCTATTTTCTTTTTGGTTGACTGGAACTGCGAGCGCTCGCCCACCAGAATCGCGTACCATTTATGGACGTTCGCCAGGTCAGGTTTCATTTTGAGAGCTGCTTCGCAGGCTTCGATTCCTTTGATCACGTATGCTTTGTCGTGAGTTTTCACGAAGAGTCGGCTGCAGGCTTTGCCCAGTCTCCAGAAGTAGTGTGGGTTTTTAGGATTTAGGTGGCAACGGCATTCGAGTTGCTCAAGGCACGCTTGAAGTTCGGATATGTTGCCTTCGTTGAGGATGCTGTCGATGGTTTCTAGGTCCTGGGGGAGGTCTAGGGTTACCACATGCTACACTGCCCTAAATCTTTTTTTTTTATTTTATATCATGTTCTATATCCGTGACAACGCTCTGTTATTAACGTATATACGTCAAATTCTACCCTTTATTAACAATCTACTTTTACCTTAAAAATTTGAAGAGCTTACTGTGCCTTACTTGAGTTATCCCTCCAATAGTGCTAGGTATAGCGGCTAGGTCGTGCATTACCTTTATTTAGTACTTTTGACACACGTGATGTTTGAAAATGTGATCATATTTTTCACACTGTTCGCGAAAATTTGACATTACAAGATTTCAGTCACTTCGTGCCAAAAAGCGACGTTTCGTCACTGCTGAAACCGTGTGTGATAATACAACAGGGTAGGTGATTTTGGTTTTTCTCAAAAAAGAATTGTGTACTATTCTCCAGAAATTATGAATCATAACTGATTTACGAAAAGGGGTTTTAGATATTTGCTGTCACAAATCTGTTGGTGGTTGGTCCATGCTCATTCTGGTTCTTCATGAGAATCTGAGCTAATAAAACCAAGTGGTAGATGTTGTCTTTGGATCTACTGTACCTCTTCCTTTTTGTACAATCAGGGTGTCCTTTCTTCTAATCCCCAAGTTCCTAAACAAGTTAGAGGCATCAGAGGTTGCAAGCTCCCTAATTAAGAAATTATTCCCTTTTCTAAAGCTTCCTAATTAAATTACGAGAAAGATAGGTCCTGACGGAGGCCGAGCTTGTCCACAAGCATAACGGAAACCAAAGTCAAGAATCCCGGCACTGTCCCACTGGAGGATTCTAGGAACGATTTAAAAAGGGAGACCCCATATAGGTAAACTCTGGTCGTTGCCTTTTTATTTCCCGATGGGTAAACCGCCGACCAACAAGTGTACAATTGATTTCCTTTTGACAATGATTTCCTGTTGATTTCCCCCGATTTCTTTTGATTTCCTTTGATTTCCTGCGATTTCCTTTGATTTCCTGTGATTTCCTCTTGATTTCCTATGATTTCCTGTTATTTCCTCTTGATTTACTATGATTTCCTTTTGATTTCCTCAAAATTTGGTTACATAATGTACTACAGGGCGATTGTTAACTTTTTTTTAACTTGACTTTTTTGTTTTGCCGATAATGATGTTGAATTTAAACCTTTTTTTACCAAGTGTTTACTAACGTACGGTGATTAGGTAAGCTGAAGTGCTTTCCCGTTAGACGAAACAAAAAATAAATAAAATGTATTGTGCTGCTAAGCAACAAACTGAAATGTTTAAGAAAAAAAATCTGATTTTACTTACAAAAAGAAAGCTACTCTAAAAGCGAGGTTTTAGATGTCTAGATCAATAGAATAAGTATACGTTCGAATTTTACACTTTCCTGGGTCAAATGTTTGTTCTAAAAGTGGACATATGCAATATTCTAGATTTTTTGCACATTCAGTCAGGAAACCTTATGGTCTATTTTAATTTTGAAATTAAAAATGTCTGGTGTGTACAAATTAGTTCCTTTAAATCACTCAAAGATTTAATAAATTATATTATATATTATTATTAATTTTTTAATAAATTATATTATGAAATTTTGCTTTTGACTTTACGAAATTAAAAGTACATAAGGCCAAGGATATCTTTAGTTAAGTCAGGAGTTTTTACTTATCAGTGACTCATACTCATAAGGCAACAACGACTGGCTGATACGTTCACAGAGGTAATTAATGAATACCAAATAGTCCAAAATCATTCTATTAGGTTCATCTCTGTGTTGTGCATACAAGATCATGATAAAGTTTGACCCATTAAATCAAACTTATAATAATAACTTAAGTCAATACTTTTTAAAAATTGGATTTATTCATTTATTATGGTAGCATAAACAGAAAAAGCAAGTAGTTTCATTTATTTTATTAAAAAACGGTAACTCTAAACATAAAAGTAAAGCACTTCTGTTGGATCATAACAAAATATCACAAAATAAAACAACTTCTTAAAAAATACTTACCCCATAACCTGGGTCGAGATTTGTGTATATATTGTAGATGATGTTGAAGTAAAAAACTGTGCTAAATTCTAGTTACCCATAAATACAGATGATAACACTTTTAATTTTTTGTTCACAACTTTCAAATGAAGCATATTAGAAAAAAACTTTTCAAATGCAAATTTAGCACGTAAGAATTTTTTTTTGCACAATAAAGGAGTGGATAACCCCACTTGATAAATTTTCAGAGGTAATTTTCCCCTTTAAAAGTGTTCATGGGTACCTAGAATTTTGCACAGTTTCTTACTTTAGTATTCTCTACGATATATACTTGTACAAATCTCGACCCAGGTTGAGGTTACATTATCACAAATTTTAATCACACCACTTAAAAAAAAGTAGAATTAAATCAAATATTTTTTCAATAATTTTTTTTCAAAAACTATACTGCCTCTTCTGAGTACCTGAGGTGGAGGTAGTTTCATTATATATTCATTTTCTTGGATCTCCCCCTGATCTTTAATGTCCGGAAACATAAAAGTATCTGAAATTTTTAGATTCCTTTTCAAAAAATCACAAAAAATAGGGTTAAGTGATAACACATTACCAATGTAACATTTTTTGTTTTGTTTTTGAGTTGTTAATTGTACTATAATATAATCGTCTATATTTAACTCTGGTTTAGAACGATTAGTCTTACTATTTTCAGCCTTGAGATTCAAACGAGGATTCAAATCATCAGAGTAATTGGAAGGATTCAAACTTTCGGTGTCCGTGCTGTCATCATATTCGATACTACTTGGGTTGTCTAAATCAGATGAGTCACTTGATATATTATAGATTCTTTTTTGTTTTCCAATTTGGACTGGTTTTTGAATTTGAGATGCATCTTTATGTTGAAGACAGGTCTCTGTTTCTGAGTTAACTCTACTACTATACATTTCTTATTTTGAATAAATCTTTTGAGACGACCCACACTGACGCGATCCTTTTCATTGTCTAACAGCCAGCAAAGTGAAGACTTTTTTATAACTTTTGTTGTATTATCTAAGCGTATTCTGACTAGATCACCTTTCTCAACAAAAATATCGTCACTATCAAAACTTCTAAGGTGTGTGTCTCTGTCAAATTTCTTAGATTCGTACGAAATTGTGCAAAGATCATTCAGTAAATCTTCATCTTGGTCAACTGGATCGTTTTCCAAACTTTGAAATCAGTTACGTTTCATGGCTATTTGAGAATTGTTGTAATTTTCAATGTGATCGCACTGTTCTTCACTAAACATTTCATCTTCAACTTCGTCATTGCATTCATTGTGTTTACACGGATGCAAAAATACATAGTTGAAATCTATCACTTTCATTCCTAAATCGTCAGTGTCACGCAGACAATCCCTTAAAGCTGATTCAACGGTGCTTTGTATATCTTTATCTGAAATGTTTCGTAAGTCATCATTTTTCACAAAATCTCTCTTCATGATTGAACTTTTTTTCCTGATTTCTCTAGGAAAAACGAATTTTTTATCCAAATCGTTTTTAATGTTGTTTATAGTTTGCAGTCTGTCACTTCGATGCGACATATCTCTTATACTAAAATTAACAATTGTGCTAAAAGTTGAGGTCATTGATCTAAGGCTTCTAAACATACTCTCACAAGTTTGAGAGCTAAACTTCCAAGGCAAGAACATATCATCAGTAAGATTACTTTTTTGAAAAATTTTAATTATTTTTATTAATGGGTGCACATTGAGTTCAACGCATGTGTAGCAATTGGAAGATAAAAAGTTATCTTTTAAAGTATACTGTCTTTGGTCCTTAATCCATTTTTTCCATATTGGTAGGAAAAATATGCAATACCAAATGTTATATATCCTTTCTACAATAGATAACGTTTTGTCCAAGAATGCTGCCGATATAAGATACATTAGTTTCAAATAAGCGGTTGTTCCTGCACTATTGTCAATGTTGTCGGCTATCATTTTTCTTACTTCCGGGCTACACATTTTTTCTGTCGCTGCATAGTTCATTTTGTCTTCTGCTTTCAAATCCGTTATTGTTAGCATATGTTGATCTTTGGTGTAATTTTTTACTAATATTTCATGGTGAGCAACTGTAGAGTCTGATTTTAAAAACTTTGTTCTTAACTTTGTGATAATATGTACAGTGTCTTGGACATACGATGTCAGATCGCTGTCACTGAAACCCATTTGGTACCATTCCCAGTTATTCAAATGATTTTCGTCGGATGAAATAGCTAGGCGTCGCGTTTTCTTGTTGATTTATAGTTAATTTCTCATTGATTTCCTCTTGATTTCTCGTTGATTTCCTCTTGATTTCCTGCGATTTCCTGTGATTTCCTTTGATTTCCTCTGATTCCCTTTTTGATTTCCAAACTAGAAGAAGAACGTCTTGACTTGAATACATGTGTGGCGGCACAATAATACGTTGGTAAGCGATGAAAGATAAGCCGCCCTGTAGTCTAGTGGTCAGGCCACCCGCCCGGCAAGCGGGAGACAGCAACATTTTTCTTCGCTTACACATGATGGTATAATTTCACAGTCTTTCTAGCGCTTTTGGAAAGCGTGGTGGACCGAAAATTTTGTCTTTAAATCAGTGGCGGCTCGGGACCTTTTGAAATGGGGGACACAATTTGATTGATGAGTTAAATACGGTTATTATTACCAATTAATAGACGAAATTGTGTGACGGAAATAAATACAAAAATACATTCAATAAAAGTAAAAAAGTATTTGTCCACATACCTTCATGTCATAGATTATCCACGCCAGTATTAATCCATAACGATGGTTTTAACTCATTACTGAAGAGACACACAATACAATTTATTTATTTTTTTGACAATCGCGCATCCACGAATATTTATTATGCGCGTTACGTATATTAAAATATCTATGAAAGTCTTTCGTTTTGCTCTGAACCGTTGTGACACAGAGGACAATTTTTTATTAAATTGAGTTAGTGCTGGTGGGGACTGTCGGAATAGAACCCGATTCCAGCGCAATATCGCGACTAAACGCACGATTTCCATGGCAACGGTGTAAACAAAACGTCTAAATAAGGTCTCCGTCTCCGCTGATCATAACTTGAAACTTCAAATCTGACAGCTAATATTTTTATACAACTTAATAAACCAAATTATTCAAGTTCAGGTTTACCAACTCTCTCAATCAATTTTGATGACTCTGTATATCCAAGCCACAAAATCTTTAGATGTAAGTGGATGTAAGTTTTGATATATTTTATACAAGTGGAGCGAGATAAAAAAATTACTTTTGATAATTATGA